TGCCTGTGTGGCCGAGTCCTCGATGAAACTACCAGAAGTAGATGGCAGGAACAGAGTACAGGACGCGATCATGTTTTTTCGTACACAAGACATTTTTGCGACTGTGCCGATCTCTGTGGCCCCGCTGACCTTTTTTCTCATTCTTGGCTATAGTTAGGAAGGCCATACACACGGGCGTATGTTATTTCTTCCTTGTAAAATCCTATCAAGGATGATATTGCATTTTCGAGTGCACAGTAAACAGGTAGTTTCCCTTTTTATTTTCTTCTCCGCGCTCTTCATCTATCCCACCCTTACAGTCCTGAAGAAAACGCAAACGTCTGTACAAGACCGACTAGGAACCGTGTTAATGAAGTAAGGGAGACGGTTGGTCGAACAAGGAATCAATAACTCATTCGTCGAGATGATTAATTTTATTAAAGTAAATAACGCCGATCGCAAAGCGCAAACATATGATTTCTTTTTTGAGAGTGAATACCCATCGTTAATGCTAATTTCCTATTACTCTTGGGAAAACTCCTTCCTGGTTTGCAACAGTTACGTTTTTGCAGATGCAGGGCGACAATCTCTGTACTATAGCCAATATCTTCCCGACAAGGATAGACTTATCCTTCGCAAATCTAAAACTTTAGTCTTCCCCGCAATGGTGGAAGTTTCGTATCTCACAAACTATTTAATTCTGCGGAAAAATTTAAAAAGCAGGTAAAAGACACACTACCTCTAGTGGTCGTAACACCTTCATGATAAAGGAAAACTTACCACATACTGGCCCTTATCAATATATTTCCCATGTTTAGGCAATCAAAGCAAAACTGAGCACTGTCCGGGTTAAAACAATCTATTTTGATTTAAAACATTGATCAAAAACACACCTTGCGCGTGTACGTAAGCAGTTACGTCCTATAAGACTGGCCTTTTGTCCATCGAATCCCAAACATAGTAAACTATCACGTGTGCACTTGGCATGGGTATATTCAGATTCAACTTCCTGGCCTGTGTCGTTAGCTAACTGGTTTGGCTGAAATAGAGGCCTCCTTGTCGGATGTTTCCCTGTACAGACAGACGTTGGGCCTTCTTAGTTCTCTTTTTGTTGCTCACGACAGTTTGGGGGGCACCTTCCCCTCATTTTCCCCATTACGCTCTAAATGTTGGTGAACTACGCAAACAGGATAATTGTATCCAACAACAAACAACATAAGCATCAACTAAATGTGAAAGATATCGTTTGCATTCTAGGAAACCCACAGACAGATTTATGCATATTAATTACACCCAAAACCTCCACCGTCCGCGCGATGCCCCTTGACTTCATCGCGCACCAGTGACCAGCCGCCCGCATTCCCACTGATCCGCAATCTCCCCGCGTTTTCTCCACCTCCAACACAGGGAGCCCTAACGGTTCATCCTTCCGTCCCCCTGTCCCACAGCCTACCATAACTCGATGCCCACACCTCTTACGCATCAGCTGTCCGTTTGTCGTTGTCTGTCCTGTCGCGCAGGCCGACCTAGTCTGCCCATTTCACTTTCCCTTCTGTTCATTTCATCTGACAACGGGTCGGTGTCACAGAATTGAAAATTTACGAATAGAATTCGATTTTCCGAAGATCCTTCTCTTTTTTCATTATATCACCTCGGAATGCACACCACAGCAGTTGTTCAACATTAATTTAAGCTAAGTACGTTAGTTCACCAGAAAAGTCGGTAAAATGGAGTGATTCCCGTCTTGTGTTTAATTAATCGAGTCTCTTTACTCGATGTAGACGTCATATTGTTTTTCAGCTAACTAATGTTGCTTTATTTTCAACTTTATACAACATTAGCAGTAGAATGAGATGACAGACGAAGGCAGGGGAGACTTGAATGGTCGTTTCCGGCTTGTTAGCCGTCGACAGCTAGTCGTACCCAACCACAGGTTTGTAAAGCCTGGGATTCGAATCCGGAATTTTTCGATCATTGACGCCCTATCAGTTGAGCCACGGACTCACTCTCATGTCGGTAGTAATCGGGAATGGAAATTATGTTGGGAGAGCGTTCACCGATCAGACTACCTGACATTTACATCCTGTCGTACTTGGGGTCTACAACCCCGTAGGTAGTTGCAGAGCGATTAAAACCCCAGGTACTGCAATCCCCGGGTTGGATATGAGTGTCTGATGACGGCTAACGAGCCTGAAATGGTCATTCCATTCCAGTTTCAGTTTATTTGGTAAGGGTAATAGACAAGGCCTTTGAAAACCACTACTGATTACACGTCAACTCTTTAGATACAACTGTACACGAACAATGAAAATCTTCTTTATTAAAACAGTACTTCATTAATTCGAGTAGAATTATTTCAGAGAAGGAAATCCCGGGGTATATAACTCAGGTTCAAACTGTCGAATGAAAACAGGTCTTTGTCGGTAACTTCATTCAGCCTTTATTACTGGTCGCTCTGTTACTGCCTACGCGGCTCTCGGCCGAACCCCTAAATACAGCAAAACCAGTGTATCCCGTAAGCCGACAGCCGAACGACCTCCCAACATAATAGGGGAAGTATTCACACTTCTGTCCGTTAGTCACTAGGCAGGATTTCTGCTATCTTGGCTTTATCCGTTAACAACCGGAGTGCGGCCAAACTCCTGGACAAACCGTTTTCGGCCACACTGATAACTCCACTATCCCTCCTTCAGCCTCTAACCCTTCCTCCCTCTTTGCCTATCTCCAATACACCACCTCGCACAGCACTTGGACCCTTCTCATCACAAAACCTTTTTGGCAGTATGTCACTGTCACTAGAAACCTCAAGTTTAATGCTACTTGGTTTGATTCCGTTCATGACAGCTGGCACCAACTGATTGTCACTTTTATTCAGCAAAACCACCCTGTCAACTGTTCTGCTCCACCTACTTCCCGTTTTCAATATGAATGACGTTTACTCACTGGCAAGCATTCTGTTCACCTCTTGCTTCTAAGAAGACTCTCATTTTCGGAAATCCAATTAATATTCTTGTTAGGTAATCGTGGACCCATGTTGTGGTTTTGGGCTAAAATCTTGACAGTCACTTTATGCATACTAGCAGAACCGGCACATCTTGCTGGCATTTTATTAACCCCTCTGCACTTTTCCGGTGAGCACATTTCTCCGCATTCACTTCTTGTAAAAACCCGAAGTCCCATTTTCTCGTCTTTTCCGCAACTTAACCTATTTTACTCGCACAAAATTAATTTTTCCCCATTCCCTTTATCTGCACTGGAATTTCAAGGCCGCCAATGGGGGACGCCGCTGCATTTTCTGGTTGTGAATGAGTTGTGCAGTGTTGATGGCCGCGTTATTGACGCCTGCTGTCTGTGGTCAGCATGTCGAAGTTGTGATCCTTTTATGGCCTTGCCAACTCAAGCTGCCCAACCAACGTCCCTGCGTCAATGTGCACTTTTGCAAATGGCTGATCGCACTTAACCCCACGAGCAGTTGTTCGGCAGAAATTCAGATCAGTTGAGTCAATAAATTGCGCAAGACCAAATACTTTCTTATGTGCTTAAGACACAAAACAATGTATTCTGTTAGCAGTCCTCGGCTTCATTTGCAGCGCCAAATTTTAGCGTCCACGCAGTCTTACACTAACTCGTCCTCCCATATAACTGTTGTTTTACTGGGTCTTTAATTTTTAGGAAAAACTGTGAGTGTCAATCGCACGGTGAATAGATACAGGAAAAAGGCATTAGATAAAGATGTAGAAATTATTCGTCCCTCTGACCCTGACGCGAACGTATACAATGTCTGCGGGTCGGATACATGGCACGATGGCCAACCTACAAAACAAGACTGACCACTGCAACTCTAGGCTAGATCGCAGTTGGTATCCAGGAATGGGGAAGCGGGCGGCGACCTTAACCCTAATCCTAACCTTCACCTTAACCCTAACCCTAACCTCAACCTTAAACGTTAACCTTTAACCCTAACGGCAACCCTAAACCTAGCCGAAATCGTAAACTTAACCGTAGCCCTTAGACATAGCCGTAAATGAAAAACCTAATCGTACGCTCAAACTCTAACCGTAACCCGAAAACCTAAGCCTAAAGGCATAACCCTAACCCGAAAATCGGAAGTCATTAACCGGTACCCTGATCCTAACCTCAAATGTAAAACAGAAGCCAAATGGGTCAGATGTGATTATGGAACCCCACAAAATAGCCCCATTAAACAAACCCCCAAGCCACCTGTAATACGGGGCCTGGCTACCAACTGCGATCTAGCCCAAATCTAGTACGGTTTTACGAACTTATCCGTCGGATCTTATTTCGTAGCAACCTGCAGTAGACAAGCCCCGGCCTAACCGCCAACCCTAACCCCTAATTCCGACGCCAAACCCCAAACCCCAACCTCTAACCTTAACTCCTAACCCTTCACCCTGACCCCTAAGCCTAGGCCCTAACAGCTACGGCTACGAAATAGGATCTTGCCAACTTATCTGATTCTGTCTCTGATGACGGCTTCGAATGTGAATATGATACACCAGGTGAATAAAGCCCTTATTTCAGCGACCGCGGCTCCCTCTTCGTAATCTTACTTATCATTTAGGAGGGTGGATTTATCACAAGGATTGCTCAATTGCTTGACTGATGTTAGTTATTTCAGGCACGCCAGCAACCGTTCGCTTCCGTATTTTTGAGCGCAACTGGGCGACCTACCCTGTGTCCAGTTCCCTCTTCCAAAGCTGAAATACTTATCTTCAGTCAGCTTGTTCACTTTCTTTAAACTGAATCATAGTTCGCTACATTTGCTTTTAGGGTTAGAAAGGCGTCTGACGTGAGCGCTGATAGAACTATTTTCGTCATACCCAGTACTTTGCGGCCCCACACGATGTAAGAGACAGGCCGCCGCGATTGCGACCATATGCATCGGCGACTAACTCGCCCTTTGTCTGCGGTAGGTGGCACTCTCGGGGATGGCTCCAACTTGCCCACGACCATCATGTACACTTGCTGGCAGCGAGCTGTTTTTATGAAGATTGCGAGACTTATGGGAGGTAGTCTGGAGTAATGAGGCCTCCCTGCTGCTGCTGCTGCTGCCGCTGCTGCTGCTGCTGCTGCTGCTGCTGCTGCTGCTGCTGCTGCTGCTGCTGCTGCTGCTGCTGCTGCTGCTGCTGCTGCTGCTGCTGCTGCTGCTGCTGCTGCTGCTGCTGCTGCTGCTGCTGCTGCTGCTGCTGCTGCTGCTGCTGCTGCTGCTGCTGCTATTATGAGTGGTGAGCACGAAAAGTACTACTTCATATGTTCGAGACTGAAAATGACTATTCGGTGGAACTCATTTCTGGGCAAAAAATTTCCGGCCCATTTAGACGAAGGATTGCCTGTGTGCGTTATTGCTGCACTTTAGGGCACCAGATGGCACAGATTTGCTGATCTGACTTCTAAAAATCGATAAACCATCTGGTTCCCCAAAAATAACTTGTGTTATCAAACTGATTCCCATGGCTAACATCGGACAGAAAATCACTTTTCAAACGCGGAGAGCTCTGTTTAGTAGAATCTTCGAGGATGGGTAACTCACCTCTTAGGACGGACGCTAGCATAAGAAACGGCCCGAATATATCGCAACGTCCATTTTCGCTCAAATTTATGAACTTTTTGCTTGATAAAATTACGTGGACACATTTTCTGCGCAAGAAAAGGACATTTCCTCAAAGAGGCTGAACGATCGAGCAAAACGCGCAGCGTTTAAGACGTCCGAAAATTCTCATATCAGTTTCTGTCATCAGGTTTCATGAGATAGGTCGTGCACTGTATGTAATCCGATTCGTCATAGCCGGTAGGGTGTGTGCAATGTCCCATGTCAACATATGCTCGCCTCGTGTAAGTGCGAAGCTGGGTCTTTGGCGTTTCCTGCGCATGAAGTGATGACCAGATTACATGTGACATGCGTGCACGAACCGTCTAACTCTGCGAGCTACTGGGCCCAGTCCAATCGCTAGCTGGCTAAGAGGCTCGGACAGTCGACTGGTACCTGGGCTAGGGAAGGAAGAGTGGAGGCCGACACTGAGAAATCCATCCCTGCGGCAAGTGCCGGAGTCATCACAACGCGCTAAGGGTGGTGGCCTAGAAGGCTGCCAACTTACAGGATAACTCAACCCCATGGGAGTATTTTAGAGTGACTGGGGGACTGAGAGTCAGGCCGCAATGAATCTTTCTTAATGTGGATTTTAGGGCATACCAATTGACGTGAGATTCGGACCACCCACATGAGAGCGTGGTACGCGAAGCGGGATCCGACAGGAGACCCTGTTCCAGATGGTTGTTCAGGCGCTTGTCGCAGAGCTGACTATTACCTCTACGCTTGCGGAGATGGACGATTGTGGCGTTCTTAAAATCCTGCGGACTTCTTTTGACGCCACATCTCCTGGAAGAGCGCTGTCAGATGTCCCATAATTTAGGGGTCACCGGGCTTGGAGAACTTAGCAGGGATCGCGTCCGATCGGGGCGCTTTCCCGCTGGAGAGCTGTTGCACGGTCCTGATGGTTTCGCGGAGAGAGAGAGCGGTAGGTCGGGGTTGGCGTTGGTCTCCACTTGAGACAGACGGGCAGTGGCGACATCGGAGATTGTGGAGGGACGGTTGAGGACGCCTCTGAAGTGTTCGGCCTATGGCTGCAGAATGTGTGTCTTATCGGTGAGGAGAGTATTGCTGTCGACGCTGAGGAGAGGTGCAGTACCTTTGGCTGTTGGACCGTAGAGAGCTTTGGTCGCGGCGAAGTTTTACCATTCGTTGCGGTCCGCCTATCCTTCGATCTCCTCAGCCTTGCGAACCGTCCAGACCTCCTGCATCTCCCGCAGCCTCTGTTGTACAACGCTGCGACTACGGTAGAAGGCCGTTCTGTTGTCGTCAGTGGGGCGACTGACGTAGTCTTTGTGCAGACGGTTCTTCTCGGCGAGTAATTTGCTAATAGCGACGTCATTGTCATCGAACCAGTCCTGATGTTGGCGGCGTGCGCGACCGAGGACGGCCAGCGCCGTCGACTGGACCGTATCTCGCAGTTGACGCCACCACGGAGGCGTTCTCGTAGGCGACCGCGCGGAAGGTTGTCTAGCCGTTGAGCAGACAAAGATACGAAAGCAATATTCAGCTTACCCGGGGGCCGCCTACCTTGAGGTTTCCTTTGAGACCGTAGGCGAATCTGCATCTTTAAGAAGACAAGACGATGGCCGATCCGCCCGTCGACAGCCAGAATCGCTTTTGTCACCAGCACATCCTGCTGGTCTCGCCTCCGGAAGAGGACATAGTCCAGCAGGCGTCAGTGTCGCGACCGAGGATGCATCCGGGGTGGCCTTCTTTAGCATCGGCAGGCAGAAGATGGTGTTCGTCAGGATGAGTCGGTATTCTGCGCAGGTTCGTAGGAGGAGCAGGCCATTGTCGTTGGAGCCGTTGAAACCATGGGTAGCCAGTGTTCCTCTCGCGGCAGCATGGTCTCTGTCGACGCGGGCGTTGAAGTCACCAAGAACAATCAACTTATCCGCCTTCGGCACAGTCGCCAGGAGGTTGTGCAGATTCTCGTAGAATTTGTTCCTCACCTCGCCGGGCTGGTCATCGGGGAAGCGTTGACACTGTCAATGGTGGCGAATTTCTCTTCCCGGGGAGGCAGGCTGTGTCTCATCAGACGATCGTTGATGTCCCGCAGTAGACAGGGCAGTCGTCCCACGATGTCGTCACGGATGGCAAAAGTGACCTCCGCGGCTCATCGCTCTGTCCTGGGGCGATCGCTCAAGAAGAAGGTGTAGCCGGCACTCACCTCCAGCGGTTGGCCTTGTTCGGAGAACCGGGTTTCGCTGAGTGCGGTGATGTCCACTTTGGGGGACTTTTGAGTGGGGGGAGGCGGAAGGTGGGGGAAAGGGTAGGGAGACAGGAATCAGAGTTTCTCGTCCCTCTCTAAGTTAACTGGTTGCCGAAGTATAAACGCTGAGTAGAAAAATTCAAAAGACGGTATTTAGCTAACGACAAGAACAAAAACAGGCAAATAAGAAAAAGACAGGCAAACAAGAAAAAGCAAAAAAACGAAGACAACAAAGCAATATTCGACCTACTTGGGCGGCACTTGACTTGTGGCCTCCAGTGGGGTTGCAGACGAAGCCTCATCTCAGAGGAACCGAGGCGGTGATCCGTCCGTCCAGCGATGGTGGGAGTGGGGAGATGCACATACGGCTACCCTCACCTCGTTTAGCCCGCCGGTCGAGACGGTTACCGGGATGTGGCCGTTAGGCAGACCCTAGCTTCTGGGAGCCAAATATGAGAGTTGGGTACCAGTAAGTGGGCGCTAGGCGTATTCTACACCTGCAAGCAAGTGAACGACCTGCTACGACCTATAACTGGACACCCGTACACTCCAAAGTCGCGATAAATAGCATTATTCCCGCACACATTGTTGAATCCGGACACCGAGTGGAGCCCAAAGCAGCTCTCTTTACAATTTATAAGATCCAACCGAACTACCCTAAGCCACTGGGTCAATATCTGCTAGTGACAGCGGAGGCAACTGCCATCAGGTTAAGAAAGCCGGTCTTGTGTGCACAGAAGTACCTAGTGCAAGCTCCACGCCTACCGTGGCCATGAGTCGCTTAATTGCTTGTACTCCTCCGCACGTTCCCTCCGTCCCCCTTACCCCTCACTGACTCCTAACTCACTGTCACTTATTTCTTCCTCCCCCCCCCCTTGTTCCCACGCCTCACTTCTAAGGAAGGACGAGCTGTAATCGATTTCTCTTATCTCTCACATGTTTTACCTGTACCCCGTTCCCGTATAAATGTACCGGCCCGATGAGAGTTCATTGAAAGCAACTTCTAATAATTCCTTACCAACACTTTCGAATTTCCGTCAGAAGAAATTATTTCGCTGTCCTCTGAACGTATCGCTGTTTAATGTGACGGTCCTAATCGCATAGGCTTCGTCTAACCCGGCGTAGCCTCCATCATACCTCATGTCGTCAGTCGGCTTATTAATGAGCAGTTACGCTAACCTCAGAGCTGAGATTGGACCTGTCATTACAAGGACTAGTATAACTTCTTCCAGTGTCTTGTGAGAATAGTACCATTTTACGACGGTGTAAATCGCACAAGCCTACTCATCCAGACTTGATAGACCTGGTTTTCTCAAACAACCATCTTTTTGCTTCTTTTGACCACGTTTTGCGTATAGCTACCCTTGATTTTTGCACAATTAAAGTCAGAACTCCATTGTCTAGCTGGTTATTCTACAGTGAGTGACCTACCTCATAAAATGTTAGTCGAGATTCCGAAACGCCTTTTTCACTAGAAAGGATTACTCAGGTGAGGTTGTAATGTTTATTATTGTGCAGCATAAACCCGAGACACTTCCGCTACGCCCGGATGCCGGCTTTGAAGTGCCCTTCTCTCCGGCCGTACGCAAAAGTTTACTCGACAAAAGTGACTCTCAATTCAAATGAAATTCTCCCATTGATTTTTGATGTCTTTATATATATTCAAACATATTTTATAGAAAACATGCATAAAAATGCCCTGTCCTGTACGCATTTGCTATCAACCCACATCGCCTTCGAAAAAGGGTATATTTTGATTTAAAATGTCTATAGTTATGAGATTGATGATAGAAGCGAACAGGCGAGTTCCAGGTAGCAGTTCAGAAGATGAAGATGTGATCACTGGAACAAGAAATGTAGTTGCCTGACGTTTCGGATTCTCACTCGAATCCATCATCATACGCGAATGTCTCTCTGATGATGGATCCGATTTAGAATCCGAAACGTCAGGCAAATAAATTTCCTGTTCCAGTGATCGAATCTTCATCTTCTGGTTATGAGATTTCCCAAGACGGTGAAACGTCCATACGGATATTATCGTATTTGTTTATCTATCAATGCTTCTTGTGAAGTTTGTAGCGTATTTCACAGCCGTTGGAAAATCTTGTGAGACGAATGTGTGATTTATATTGCTTGCAAAGTATGCAGGCAATATTTTGGAAACCCTGAACGCAGGTTTAACGGTAGGCCGGGTTCAAAGTCATTCAGGAACTAAAAAATTTTATATAACCGAAACAAACCTTTCTCAAGGATAAAATCTATAGAAGGCGTGACCTACTACCAAATGAGCGCATGAACGGATATTTGTGTATCTGACTTTTATAAAAAAATGTCCGAATTTATAAGGGCAACGAAAATCAATGAAACATTTTATACCACTCAGGTAGCCGTTGTTTGACAAGTGTGGTTTATGCAGGTGGCCAAAAAGAAGCCCATGCAAAAGCCGGAAGCCTGGCGTGACTAAAATATTTTCGGATTATGTTGCACAATAGGCAATATTATTTAAGTAATTATTCATAATCGAAAAAGCATTTCAAAATTTACGTTGATATTTCATGTGGTAGATAACTAATTGGATCTCCCATAAGTCCACTCCAATCATAAGTAGGCACTGTTGGCCAAAGCCGTGTGGAAAATCAGGCTTCGCGACGTTTCCCCTTAAAGCATTCCTCATCCGAATTTTACCCCCAAATGTCGCTTCTATACTTTTGAATGTCTACTCATCCATCACCTATCTTAGGACATTCCCAAGTGCGATTTGAGTCTCTGTTGTCCTCGGTAGGCTGCCAGGATTAGACCTGACAGAACTTGTTCTCTCTGCCTCAAAATTACAAGGCGTCCAAGGTCTGGAGGACATTAACCGTCCGATAAATGCCCCCCCCCAACCCACAAGTTCCTTCGTCATACCTCATGTCGCGCGTTGGCTTGGCAGCGATTAGTTATGCCATCCCGTGGACCGTTTCTGACATGTACTTAGGCCGACGCCGAGATTGGGCTTATCATTATTACAGTCAAAAATATTGCAGTCAATACGTTTCGATTTTTTGTCCCTTGCCTCTGGAACACGATAATTTTAAAATTTTTTTGCTGAAAATGTTGCAGTTCGTTTCTAAATAAAGCGCATTCTTCCCACTCCGCTCCCTTTCACTTCTCCATCTGACTACTCGCTGGATGGATTTATCCGAACGCCGACTACAGTTCTTTCCCGTCCAAACACCCCCTTTTTGCAGACACCAGCTGCGAAGACTTCTCTTCTCAGGATGTCCCTTGGAACCTGAGATTATGTCCTTCTCTCCTTGATGAACTGCCTGAATCTTTTACTGTGGGTTGTGAAAATGAAACACTTATGACCCGCACTCGCGATTGCAATATCTGTAATCCTAATCTATACTGAAGTGTAGTCGATCCCCCCTTTTCGCGGATTTATTTTTTCGTAGAGCATGTCTCAAATATTCGCCAGTTATTTTCTCATACTTTTGTGACTAACTACATCTTATAGTAAAAAAATGATTCGCTAATTTACGCGGTTTCTCGAACATATGGTGAAGGAACATTAGAAAAATCCCGAAACTCCTGAAGAAGTGTAATTGGTGGACGAGGCGCCTGAAGAAGAGAAAGAGCCGTCCCCCAAGGATATGTAACTCTTCTACTTCGCTGTGCAATCATATCTTTGTTTTCATCCATCGGAAAGCACAGCCAGTTCATCGTCATAACCATCTTCTTCGGACAAAGTTCGTCATTGGTGTGTAGTCACAGGACTACGTTCCCTTAAACTTCTCCTTACTTCGTATATTTTAAGTACATATTTAAATAGGCAGTACGTTATTGCCGACAAAGACATGGGAGACTGGAATGGCCATTTCTGGCTTATTAGCCGTCGTCGGCCAATCATACCCAACCCCGAACTGTGGGGCATCCGGGGTTCGAACTCGCGACCCGTTAGTTAGAAGTCCACGCCTCTAACCGCTGGGCCACGAGCCCGTTGCCCTGAATGGCTGACGACGGCTAATAAGCCAGAAATGGCCATTCCAGTCTCCCTTGTCTTTGTTGGTAATGCCATTCTGCCGATATCGTGCGCCACTGTGCGGCTGCTGGTTGGGCTCGAGAGAGAACGCGTAAGGCACAACGGAACAAGTGAGTTCCGTAAGAACGATCGGTGATCGCCCCCCTGCCATTACATATTTAAATATTTCCATACAGTACTTAACTACTCCCCACACTTGTGAGTGTACCAATGTAACTTCTACTTACTGTCTGCTATATGAGGATGTTGTGACACGCCTAGGCGCGTGCTCACGCCGCGCCAGCCACCTGCGCCCGGCCCCCGGCCTCTGATCCTCCTGACAATGTCTCGACGCCGGGTGCAGGAAGGCGAAAGGGGAAGCACGGTATATGCAGCACAAACCTACCAACACCGTAAACTAATTCACTCACAATTCACCGTCCCCGCGCCCACCCCGCCCGCACAGTGGACATGATCGGAATCCACGGTCGATCTGAATGTACCAGTGTAACTCCTAAATACTGTCCGCTACATATGGGGACGCAATTGTGAGGAACAGTGCATGTTGGCTGCCCGCTGGCAGCTTTCACTGGCCACCCACGGTCGGGTGCGAACGAATAGCTATGAGAGCGTGTTGCGGCAGACCGTGTGAATGTTTCCCTGTCTGTGCGCTACCATCGTCGGATCAGATCCCAAATTGTAAGGAGAAGGCAGAAGACACCAGAACGAGGGGTTTATCGTGCACAGAACCTGGAATTGTCGTCTCAGGCAACAGTGGCCACTGGCGAAGCCAGGGCTGATGTTGACTGCGTCCAGTCAGGCCTGAGAGTCCCTGAGGTAATGGTGGCAGCCGTTTTTGTTGGCTCGTGGGCCAAGCTCAGGTGGTGGCCAGTCGGTGTGTGTGTGTTGCATTTGCCGACGGGTGGAGTACCAGCGGCTTGCTGTGCTGGTTGCAGGGGGTGGGGTGCGTTCAAGTGGCCGCATAGGCAGCTGCGGCTGTGCGGACGCTGGTATGCCCGAGCTGTCGGTCGTGTGACTTCAGGTCAGCGCGTATGGAACGGCTCACTGCAAAAGGGTGAATGACCTTGAGGCAGCGAGGTCGTGAACAATGACACCCGACAGGTCATGATGGCTGCCCGCTAGAATCGCGCATCATAGTTATTGGCGGCGCAAAGTGGACAAATAAACGACGTGTGATTGGCTGGTCTCGCTAGTGTAACACTCGTCCCGTAGTGGCGACTGCATAACAAATCGCGCATGCGTAAATACCAGCTGCAGACAGAAAGCTGAGATACGGCTGGGGCCTGCGCCGGTTATGCCACTGGATGCCTCGACAACATGTGATGCATTGTGCACCCGACGGTTCGTTTGTCGCTAGCTCAGTGACGAATTGTGGCGGCCGGGCTAACGAAACATCAACCTCCTTCCTTCAAATCGCGTACAAGCGGAGAAACTAGAACAAGATGGCCGAAAGTGGACTCAGTGTCTGGAAACTATATTTATTTTTACGCAGGCCACAACGTGATATTTCAGTAGTCGCGAGCGACGAGATCTAGTACTGCCCTGTGACGGGGACCCGGCGATGATGTGCACGTGAATCTGAAACAGGCCGACGCTGACAGCATCCGTGGGGCGGCCAGCCAACTGCGCCCAATCCTAGATAGTTGACCGACTCGGACAGCGGACTGGTAGATGGGATAGGTGGGGAGAGAAAGAGGTCTGCGTTGGATAATCCATCCCCACGGCACATCAGAGCGCTCCTTACAATTATAAATCTGACGTGCTGGAAGCCATCACGATGTGTTAAAAATCGTAGCTTGGAAGGCTGCCAACTGACGGGATAACTCCGTCTTCGTAGTCGGTATTGTTTGCGTGCGTGGGGTGGCTGCCTAGAGGACAGAGAATCAGATTCAATGGCTCCTTCGGTAAGATGTGGTTATGTAGCCCCACCTGATGGGCACAATACTGTTGGGGTTGGGGTTAGGGGTCAGGATTAGGGGTTAAGGTCACGGGTTAGAGGTAGGGGTTAGGGGTTATACTTAAGAGGTAGGGTTATGGACTAGGGCAACTATTTCTCAACCACCTAAAGTACAACCACGCATTCCCAGTAACTTTTCTTTTGCATACAATTACTCGACCCCGCCGCTCGCCCGTTCCCCGACCCCACTTGTAAAAACCCCACCACCATCGGTCCCGTATTACAGGTGGTTGCTGTTTGTTTACTTCAGGTGGAGCTACATAACCACATCTGACTGCTCCTCCGAAATGTGTCCTCTGTGGTGATTCTACTCGGATTGGATTCGAGCCACCCTCTGACATATGTGAAAACGGTTCCATGGTGGGAGGATCAGATCGTGCGTGGCACGCGTATACGGGCTGTTTAACATCTTCAGCCACTGCGTCCGATCTCTCCCCCAGCCCTCCTGACCCTGTCAAAGAGGCGTTCATTGTACCTGCTTCACTCTTTTCTCCCACTCGCCGTCTTCCGAGGGCAGGACGGAGTCAAGACAACCGGAGTTGGGCACTGGGGCGGATACTGACAAATCTGAACAGCCCGTCTACACGTGCCTCACACGAGCCTGTCAGTGGATCCACCAGTGACAGACTCCGTTTGGGGTCCCGTGTCTAACATAAGTGATGCTTTCATAAAAATCGTGCTAATGCGTAGCCACTGCAGCCTGTACCTCAGCCAGTTATCCAGTCAGTTGGCAACCTTCCAAGCCACTATTCTCAGTGGGTCGCGGTAACTTCTAGCCCATCAAGTTGATGGTAATAAGGAATGTGTTCATTTGTCATGAAAATGCATTTCACCTCGGTACTGTTCTATCTCTCTATTTCTCTCTCTCTCTTCCCTCAGACATGTGCCAGTTGACTATTCCAACCTACCAACCAACTGACAATAGGATTTGGCACAGTGACCGGCTCGGCGCGAAGGCATACGCCTATGCGTGTTACATGTGTACCAGTGCCTCACTCCACAAAACCAGCCCTCATCGAGGGACACGCAACTCACGCACACATTGACTGTGCACCTTCTGGCACAAGGTATCTCGCCCGTCGTGATGACGGGACCGGTGGTAATAGGGGTTTTTACAGGTGGGGTCAGGGAACGCACAGGCGACGAGGTCAAGTAGTTGTATGCAGAAGGAAAGCTTTTGGGAATGCGCGGTTGTACTTTGAGTGGTTGGGAAATAGTTGCCCTAACCCCTAACGCTAGTCCCAACCCTAATGCATAATCATAGCCCCTAACTCTAACCCCAACCCTGACACTATTGTGTCCATCAGGTGGGGGGCTATATAACCGCATCTTACCTATTTCTGATCGGTATTGTCCTCTCTCTCTGTCCCTCTTCCCTCAAAAATGTACTAGTTAACTATTCCAACCAACTGGCGATGAGATTTGGCACAGTGGCAAAGCATACGCCCACGCGTGTGTGCTGGTGCCAGTCTTCACCGAGGGACACGCCACTCACGCACACAGTGAATGTGCACCTTCTGGCATAGGATATCTCGCCCGTCGTGATGACGTTGGTAGACCACATTGCATGAATTTGCATGATTAACGTCTGGCGGTGTGTTGACTGTTAGCGTTTTTACGCGTGCAATCGGACAAACCCCCCATGAATAACTTAGGTGTGTTGTGCATGTGCGAGCAGGGAGACTTGCTTCAAGTGAGTTTGAGCTTTGCCATGTCACAGTGGGCTACCGTTGTGGTGTTGAATGCGCGGCCATCCCTGAACAGAAGACTGTGGTGGCTTGATGTAAATGGTAATGCTCTCACGAACTAACGAATTATATCTCGCGAGCCCCTAGTGAATAATATGGAGATTCTGAACGATAAGTAACCTGACAACAGAGGGCGACAGCAAAGAAGGCCAGCATGGCGGGTTTTACAAGTGTGTTGTTTTTCGTCACATTCAAACAACCAATCTGGGCAAAGAAAACGGGCCTAACTTGTCTAAGGTAAATTAGTCCGGTGACAGATGACAGTTCGACCATCGTTTTCGATGATGTCCACCGTGTGCCCCACAGTTACAGCAGCAATGGGAGCAGGGACGGTGACTTACGCAGGGGTTTATAGTGCCGGTAGACTTGCGTAGCATCTACCTACACTCTCTCCTCCTCCCTCGCCCAAGCCCGGTGTCAAGACAGAGTCTAGAAGACCGGAGACGGGGGAGGCCGCAGGTGGATGGCTCGGACGGATCCTCACCTTGGCGTTCCACCACACCCCCTGGTCCACACAACAAATAACCAGGATTTCAACCAACACAACAGAGATTTGGAGGCTGGCACAGCCGAAGCCGCACCTGGGCGTGCCGCCAACGCCTCGCTCGGATCCCACACTGTGATGGGAGTGCCATAAAGGCCACATTAAAAAGGAGCCATTGCAGCCTGACTCTCAGACCGCCTCCGGTCAAGGAGGAGGTCCAAATTACCCCGTCAGTTGGCAACCTTCCAAGCCACGGCTTTTAGCACACCGTGATAGCTTCAAGCGCGTCAGATTGTTTATAGGGAGGAGAAAGTGCGCTGAGTCGTCGACCTCACTCTCCCTTCCCACTCCCACACCCCAGCCGCTGTCCGAGCCGGTCAGCAGACTGGAGTGGGGAATGGGCGCGGTGGCTGTCATGGTCGACTGACCATGACTGCGCGCGCCACGGCACGACTGGCCCCCATGCACACAACACCAGGATTTCACACAACGGGGGTTGAACGGCGTGTCTCTCACTTGCGTGAGAGTGCCGTGGAAGGTGCTGTTTCAGCCCGTTCCCTGCCTACCAGTCCGCCACTCCACACAACACACACACACAACGCGACGAACTGCGTAAACTGAGAGCGGGCGTCAATCAGCAACCTTCCTATCCACGACGCTTGACGTGTCGGGATAGTCTCGGACTCAAGTCACTCGTGCAGCCGAAGCCGCATGGGGACCGAGTCGAGAGCACACTTCCCACTTGCGTGAAAGGTGGCAGTTGGTGCATGCGGTGGGTAAGTGTTGATGTGTGTTGTTGATGGTGGAGGAGGGTAGGGAGTGTGCGGATGTGTGGTGTAACCGGCAGTTGTCTACCGCATGTCGTCGTGGATGCACATGTGGACGAATAGGCCCATGCGATGCCTGAAAGTGCGAGGGCAGTGTGGGCAGTTGATACGAGCATGGTGGGTATAGGTGGGTGCTCCAGGCACTGGGTCGCCAGTCTCTGTGCGATGGATTCGCAAGTGACCGACCAGGCCGATGCGTGAGGTGAATGTGCGTGGACAGGGTGGGCATGAGAAGTCGGCGGTGTCAGTGTCAGCTACAGAGGAGGCGGTGGTGGTGGTGGCGCGGACGAATGGAACGAGGGTGGGGGTGTGCACGGTGGATGTGTTGGATGTGGTGGGTGTGTCGAGAGTGCGGTCAAGGCCGCTCTCGTGGATGCGCATGTGGCCGAAAAGGCCCATGCGATGCCTGAAGGAGCGAGGGCAGTGTGGGCATTGGAGGCGAGTGCGGTGGGTGTAGGTTGGTGCTTCGCGCACTGGTTCGCCAGTCTCTGTGCGATGGATTCGCAAGTGACCGACCTGGCCGCTGTGTGAGGTGAAGGTGCGGTCGCAGTGGGGACAGGTGTAGTCCTGATCCTCATCCCTGGAGTCGGGGGAGGTGGTGGTAGTGTCGGTTGTTGTGCGCGGGACAGTCGCCTGAGCGGCCGCCGTTGGAGCAGTGGGCGAGGAGGAGGAGGAGGAGGAGGAGGAGGGGGAGGAGGAGGAGGAAAAGGATGATGGAAGTGGTGGGTCAGAAGAATTGTCAGGGTTAGTTGGCGGCGGAGAGGAGGAGGAAGAGGCAGGCGGGGGGACGATGGTTGGTGCCGTTCGAGAGGCGCAGTTAATCCGAAGATGTCCAACAAGTCCGATTCGAGCCAGGAATGTCCGTTGACATCGAGGACACGTTGGAAGCGGTTGTGCGGCGGCGTTGCTTACTGGGCGAAGTTGTGATTTGCGGGCTTCACGTTTCGCTTTGGCGGCAGCGATGCGGTTGGCTTCGTATATCGCAGCGCCTGTCTTCACTGTCCTCCTCCAGGTCGGTCGATCTAGTGCGAGCTCCTCCCAGTTGGCCGGGTTGATTTGCAGGCATTTCAGGGAGGACTTCAGGGTATCCTTGTAACGGCGAATCTGGCCTCCTTGACGGCGAGAACCCGTCGCGACGTCTCCGTAGAAGAGTCCGGCACCACACCGCAGACTCCTACAACAGGCTGTGCGAGGTTGTCCTAAACCTACACGGGGAACAAGATCGGGGTAAGCGAGCGTTATTGAACTACACATTCATAGAAAATATCCTACATGGGAGCTGTGGTGGCACGCCAAGGTACGGACTCACGTCGCGCCAGCCACCTGAGCCACATCCCGCCTCCGGTCTTCTTAGGTCTGTCTGGACACGGGCACCCGGAATGTGGGGGAATGGAAAGTATGGTAGATGCAGCGAAAGTCTACCATCACCATAAATCAATTCACTCGCAAGTCACCATCCCTGCGTACACCCTGCTGTGGGGCACACGATGGACACTGTCGGAATCGATGATTCATCTGTCATGGATAATGGTCCTTAAAACTCTTAAAGATACCTTCATTCATCGGTTGTTGAGCACGGTGTTTCCCTTGTGAGAGTACATGCGAAAATCTCCGCCCTCCCTAGAGTTCTCTATCGGAGATATTACGCCGGGTTTGCAGATGTGTCACTTTGGCGGTGTAGAAAGCCAAGGGTTGCATGTCCGTTGGGGTCTGTTGATGGAGGTCTGCGTCCATCGTGAGACCGGAGAATTGAGAAAGGTCAGCCGTATTCACAAAGATCTCTGTTGCATAATGGAAAGCGTTCACGGCTCTGTCAGGAAAACAAGACTCGCTGTTATTACTGCATAAAAGATTAATGAGGGATAACATCATAGGAGCGTTGTGGGATATGAAACGTCGCTAAAAACTGACGGGTGTGAGGGTGTCCAGACGTTTTAAAACTTCTATGTTGGCCGACTCCAAGTGTGTTATAATCCAACTAATTACGGTAGGTGGTATATCTCATGAAATATTAGCTGAAGTTCTGAAAAAGACCACGTATGTATATTAGAATGGATTACTTGTGTCGGGTTCTGATAACTTTTATCCTGCGGCATAACCCCAACATGCTTTGGTCCTTCTTGGATATCGATTTTTGAATGCGCTTACTTACGGCCGCCTGCAAAAACCATGCTCGGTGAAAAATGACTACTTGCATAGCACACATCATCCCACTGATCTTCGGTGTCCTTATAAATTCGAATGTGTTTTCTAGGAAACAGCCTTTCTTGTATTCATTCGTTCGTAGGCTACGTCTTCATTATAATTTATTCCCAAGGGTACATTCCGGTTATAAAAACTTCCCTTTCCCAAATAATTTTGAACCCGACCTTTCTTTGCGCTTGCACTTACGGTTGCCAAACTATAGGCTGTATTGACGCTTTTTAATTTCGTCAGAAATTAACTACGAATATGGAGTAGATCAGTTTATTCAAGGTCTACAGCCTCAGACCGAGAATTTTATGCATGAATATTTGGGCCGAATCCTTCATCCACAGCGGGTAACCGCGTAATATTCATTAACTGTCGACAGACACCTAGTAAAATTATTGGTATGAGCCTATAGACCTTGAATAAACTGATATGTTCCAAGTTGGTAGTTAATTTCTGAGGAAATTAAAAAGCGACAATTTCTAAATTGGCGTATCTACCAGAAAACAGACGGAAAATGCCGGGGGACCCACTGATGAGTCGAACCTCTCACAGCTGCGTCATGCAGCGGCAGAATATCGGCGAAACACGCGTGTATGGGCTTTTGTCTAGTACGTGTGCTGTTAGTATGGTACCACCTTACCCTAAAGTATAAGCAGCATATCTTTGCGCAAAAAACGACGAATTCTTCTTTGCCATTAAGGGGATAACCTATAGGGCTCATAAAAATTTGCCATGGATGTCGGCCGCATTGTATATGCAGTGGCTCTAAACAGCCCAAGGAAAGTAAGGCTCTAGCAGTTACTATATACTCAGCGTCCTGTGTACAATAAGAGACTAAAGGGGAAACCTAATTACAAGGATAAACTGGGGCAAGGTGAGATTTTCCAAGAGAGGATGGCGGAGACACAGGGATCCGACGAAGACGGCGACAAAGGTCCCCCGTCCGAAGGTTGGCGGCCTGTCAAGGGATCGTCGGAGGTTAATCCTCGTCCGTATTTATAGCTTCTCCAGAGGTCAAGGGCGTCAAGTTTGAGTCCGCCATTGTTTATCGGTTTAGGGTAGGTCAAGGGGGGGGAGGAAGTTAAACAAATTTAAGGCTATTTTGATCAATTTATGGTTATATTAATGCATTATATGCATACTTTTTATAAGAAGCCAGATTGCGACTAAGTACCTGGGGTATAAATACGGTAAATTTCGGCACGCGCACCCCTTTAGGGGCGCGTTTTCTACAACCTTCTACAAGATGGCGGCACGTGGTCCGGCTTTCTAGAACTTTCCACATTGCTCCCCCTCGCAAAAAGGGTCTGTTGTCCTCAGCAGAATCTTCTAGTGCAGCAGCGGGTCCACCATTTGGGGGCACTTCGACAATCTTGCCTACCGGATGTCGCCGCGGGTCTACGTCGCTGCCCTCCTGTCCACCTCAGCCACCCCAGCGGGTCGATTTGATGTTAGGACCACGCAAAGCCTGTCACTACCCTCGCGCGGGACCTGAAGCCAACAAATGCTGCCTCTTCGTTTATTGGTCCACAGGCTGACACAACAGATCAGAGGCGCAAACAAATGGCCTGGAGACACGAAGCAAAGGCTTGCGGAGACACGGCGACACGCCGGACGTACAGTGAGCGACCGATCTCATGAAATGTTGGCTGAAATTCTGAAATGTGTTTTCGATCAGGAAGGATTACTTAGGCACGGTTGTAATACTGACTATACCGTGGCATAATCCTATAATATTCCCAACTTGGCAGGATGTCAGCTTTTGAATGCACTGCTTTTGAATCTCCCGTAAAAACTGTACTTGGTAAAAAAATACTACTTAAGTCGCATTCAATTTTCCCATTGATTTTCGATGGTCTTGCAAGTACAAATATATCTTATCGGAACCACGAACGAAAATATGTTTTTTTTTCGGTCGTTTGATGGAGAATTACGTCTTCTTTACATTATATACTCAGGGAAGGACTATAAGTAGGTTTAAAAAATTTTCTAATTATGAGATTTGTAAGACCGCGCAATGTCCATTCACAGAGCCCCGTACATGTTCGTTTACCAGTGGTCCTCATGAAATGTACAACATAGTCCGCATCCATTGCAAAATCTTATGAACTACATATGATATCTTTTTAAAGGCATGGAAGAATATGTGATTTTCTTTACGCGAAACGCATGGATCTTGTAGACTAAAATCACTAAGGGCTAATGCAACGAATGATCAAGCTCCAAATTATTCGGCAATTAGAAAACTTTTTAAAACTTAATTATACTCCCTCCTTGAGTATAAAAAATAAAGATGACGTAATTCTCTATCAAACTACTGAAAGAAAGCATATTTTCGTTCATGGTTTCTATAAGATATATTTGAATGTGTAAGAACATCGAAAACCAATGGAAAAATTCATGCTGCTTAACTAGCCACTTTACCGAGTTCGGTTTTTACGGAAGACTGAAAACTGTGTATTCAAATGCTGACATTCTACCGAGTCAGACATATTATAGAATTATACCGCAACATAATCAGTCTTTCAAGCGCGCCTAAGTACTCCTTCCTAAACGAAAACGCATTTCTGAATTTCAGCCGATATTTAATTAGACCAGTCACTCACTGTACCCTCGTCCGGCTGCCAACTTTCTCCAATCTTTCGGTACGCGATAAATTATCTTCTCAACTGACGTACAGCATCTTCTCTTTCCATTCGGGACCGGACCAGAAGATCGTGGTGGCTAGGGTCACCCATGGCCTTAGCGACTGCGATATATGCTTCATAAGCAGACAGATAGTATGTCATTTGGATGGATGATTCGTGGTCTTAGGAAAACCTCATAAATGCAGAATTTTTTAAAAGAACGAAAGGTACCTGTTGAATCCAGCTGGTCAACGCTTGGAATTCTCCACGCCCTCCTCGAAAGTGCTTCCACATTTGGCCCCTGTTGACATTCCAATTCCCCCTTTTTGTAACCCTCTTTCGAACGTGATCGGTGTTCTTTTAACTAACTAATTTTTGTAGTCCAACCTTCAGCTGGGAATTCGATTTGTTCGGACAGTTACAAAGGAATTCTTTGGCTAGGATATCAATTGTTGAGGTTTGTACGTTTTTTATTATTACCTTCTTCTATCAGTAGCACCGTATATACACCGAAATCTGTTTTCGCTTATACGCGTGACTCAATTTACCAAGGATTCTACGATACCCCTTCCGAAAGCATAAAATTTGAAGGAGACGTAATTTTCTATCAAATGGCTGCAAGAAAGAATACTTTTGTGCATGTTTTCTATAAGACGTATTTGAATTTAAAGGCGTATTGAGAATCAGTAAAAAAGTGCACTCTACTTAGGTGGTCATTTTTTACCGTGCATGGTTGTTTGTGTGCGACCGAAAAGACACGCTTTTAAAAGCCAACACCCTTACAAGGCTAATATATCTTTGAAAGATGCTGTCTGATAATGTACGTTATAACTCAACCTGAGTAATCTTTTCTGCTCGAAAACACGTTCCAGAATAAGTAAGGAAGGAGAGTGGTCAAGCACGAGAACAGTTTGCTCATTGTTTTGAGTTTTCGAACTTGTGCAGGAGTTCATCGTCAGAAATAGCAGTAGCAAAAGAACGAGCGAGAAGTATATGGGATGCTAGCCAGCCATCGATCAGTGACGCAAGATGAGAGGTGACTGCTTAGGGCTCTGTACACCGGCGTCAGGTCGATAGATCTATATACTGAGTTCTTAATCGAGACCCACACTTCAATCAATTCTGGGTCTGTCTTGTTTCTGGTGTAGGCGATTGTCATGGTGGCTGCGAAGTTAAACCGATGACCCATTTTGTAGGTGTGGGCAGTCACTTGTAATAATTTGTTGCCAGCGAAAACTTCATGAGATAAGTCACCCACTGGTAGGCTGGTACATTTAAAGTGGGCGGTCTGCAGGCTCCGCTAGCATTTGAGCAGGTAGTTTCGATGCAAGTATTGGCTTGCACAGAGGGGACAGCCTTTGGCCACTTGAACGTCCAGCCATCCCGGTTTTGTCCGCCTGTGAGCTTCTCAAGGCGCCTAAGAGGTTGTGTAGG